GAGCCAAAGGCCACCACAGGGACCTGGTGACCTGCCAGCGGGGTTGGGGGTCACCCTGGGAGTCCCTGTGCCCCCACAGCGGAGGGGGGGGTGCAGAAGGTCCCCTCTCCAAAGCTGCATGACGTCAGTGAGCCAAAGGCCACCACAGGGACCTGGTGACCTGCCAGCGGGGTTGGGGGTCACCCTGGGAGTCCCTGTGCCCCCACAGCGGAGGGGGGGGTGCAGAAGGTCCCCTCTCCAAAGCTGCATGACGTCAGTGAGCCAAAGGCCACCACAGGGACCTGGTGACCTGCCAGCGGGGTTGGGGGTCACCCTGGGAGTCCCTGTGCCCCCACAGCGGAGGGGGGGGTGCAGAAGGTCCCCTCCCCAAAGCTGCATGACGTCAGTGAGCCAAAGGGCACCACAGGGACCTGGTGACCTGCCAGCAGGGATGGGGGTCACCCCTCAAAGTGGGGGTCACCCCCCTGGGCCCACTCCCCCACTTGGAGGTGAGGGGGTGCCGAGGGTCCCCTCCCCACAGCTCCATGGTATCAGCAAGCCAAGGGCCACCGTGACGTCACAGGGACCTGCTGGCAGGCATGGGGGGCACCCCTGGACGGGGGGGCACCCCGGGGGTCCCCGTGCCCCTACTCACCGTAGAGCCCAATCATTGTTTCCAAGATTAAAACCCTCTCCGCTAAAATCTTCAGCGCCTCCCGGAGCTGGTGCAAACCCTCCCCCTGGGGACGAGAGAGGCAGGGCTGGGGGGGGCTGCACCCCCCACGGCCCCATGCCACCCCCCCGGGGGCAGCACGGAGGGGACACGGGGACAGCCCCCCCTCCTGGCACCCCCCAGCTCACCGTGACACCGGGGGAAGGACTGGGGGTACCTGGGGGGGGTCTGAGCCCACCCTGTGCCCCCAGCACGGCTCTGTGCCCCCCTGTGCTGGGGGTGGGGTCACCGGGGGGCTGGGGATGTGCCACATCATCCCATTCGGGTGACATTGGCACCGGGCACAGCTGGGGACCCCCAGCGCCATTATTGGGGTCCCAGGGACAAGCTGTGGGGCACTGGGCACAGCTGGGGACCCCTAGTGCCATCCTTGGGGTGGTGGGGATGAGACATGGCACTGGGGACCCCCATGCCATCACTGGGGTCCCAGGGACAAGCTGTGGGGCACTGGGCAC